ATTAATAATGCAAATCAATTAGGAGTTTCACTACGTAGTAATGATAGTGAAATTTTTAACTCCGTAAATGATATTCTGGATTTGGAAGTGGAACGCGCTTTAGAAATGATTCGAAACTTAGCAGCGGTTAAACCCATGAATGATGCAGATATAGATGTGTTGGGGGTCAGGGTGCTCGATAATTTTTGTGTGGATCTTACACCATCCATTCCTGAGTCAGAGGAAGAGGATGACACTTTTGAGGCTACCGTAGTTCGGTCCATGGAGCCTGGTTGTGAGGACCGGGTGGAGGATCAAAACAAACCTAAACACAAGTGGAAGCGGAAGATTTACCCTGCTTCAGTGGTGCGTAGGATTGCTAGGATCCGTACTACTAAAAAATTCATGATGAAATATGAAAGGAATCTTTTGAAATAGCAGAGGTCTGAAAGACTTGGCTAAAAGAAGGTTTCTTGCAGATGCATCTATCGAGCATAGGTTGGATTTTATTGCTCTCTCGGAAACTGGTAGAGATAATTTTTCGCCCCAGTTTCTTAGTACTTTATCGGGAGGTGTCGATTTCGATTGGCACTGCCTGCCTCCGAGAGGAAGATCGGGTGGGATCTTACTTGGAGTGAGATGCGATTTGCTGGAAGTACGAAGTGTAGTGATAGGAGATTTTGCAGTTAAGTTTCAGGTTAGGCCGAAAGTTGACGGGTTTAATTAGGCTCTGGTGGCGGTTTATGGTGCCGCGCAGCCCGAACTCAAACCAGAGTTCTTGGAGGATCTTGTTCGAATTTGCGGCTCTGAGCAGCTCCTATTCCTGGTTGGGGGTGATTTCAACATCATCAGGAGGAGAGAGAGGAAAAGAACAATGATAACTTCGACGGCAGGTGGTCGTTTATGTTCAATACCATTATTGAAAGTTTGGATCTGAGAGAGAAAGAGCTTTCGGGTAGAAACTTCACCTGGGCTAATACTTTGCCAAATCCGATGTTTGAGAAGCTGGATCGAGTCCTAGCGAGCGTCGAATGGGAACAGAAATTTCCTTTGGTAATGGTCCAGGCACTTTCGCGTGGTATTTCTGACCACACGCCTTTATTTGTGGACTCTGGTGAGCCAACTCACATGGGGAACAAAAACTCCTTTTCATTCGAGCTGGCATGGTTTGATCGAGAAGGCTTCTTGGATCTGATAGCCAGGGAATGGGCTAAAGATGTAGGAGATAGGACTTCGGTTGAGCGCTGGCAGAATAAGATAAGGCACTTGAGAAGTTTCTTGCGTGGGTGGGCTAAGCATCTTAGTGGGATTTATAAGGTCGAAAAGGAAAGGCTCCTTACACTTATTCAGTCCCTAGATTTAAAAGTCGAGTCCACAATTTTGCAAGCCACGGAGCTTCATGCTAAACTTGAGGCAGAGATGAGATTGAAAGAGCTTCTCCATGAAGAGGAATTAAAGTGGATGATGCGGGCTAAGATTTGCAAAGTTGTCCAGGGGGACGCGAACACTCAATTCTTTCACATGATCGCTAATGGCAAGCACAGAAAGAAGAGAATCTTTCGGCTTGAACAAGATGAAGGAACGATTTTAGGACAGGAAAACGTAAAATTATACATAACTGAATACTACAAGCAATTGTTTGGGCCTCCGGAGGATAATTGTGTATCCCTGGATGAGTCTAGGATTGAGGATGTGCCTCAACTTGCTGCCGATGAGAATGATATTTTGATTGCCCTTTTTCCGAGAAAGAGGTGTTTGAAGCCATTACACAGATGAAAAACAATAAGGCTCTAGGGACAGATGGATTTCCGGCGGAATTCTATAAAAAATGTTGGCATATTATTAAGGGGGATTTGTTACCGATGTTCCATGATTTATTCTCTGGACAGCTTCAGTTATTTCACCCCAACTTTGGAACGATAACCTTGCTTCCTAAGAAAACAAAGGCTGTGAGAATTGAGTAGTTCAGGCCGATCTGTCTTCTCAACGTTAGTTTCAATTTTCACCAAGGTTGGGACTAATAGGCTCACGCAGATTGCGCATTCTGTGGTGCAACATTCCCAAACTGCTTTCATGCCGGACAGAAACATCCTAGAAGGGGTTGTGGTCCTTCATGGAAAGCTCCACGAAATTCACATGAAAAAACTAGATGGAGTTGTTTTCAAGGTGGATTTCGAGAAAGCGTACGATAAAGTCAAAGGCCTTTCCTTCAACAGGCCTTACGTATGAAAAGTTTTGATGAAGCCTGGCGACGCCAGGTAGAATCTTTCACGCAAAAAGGGAGTGTTGGAATTAAACTGAATGACGACATAGGTCATTATTTCCAGACACATAAGGGCATGAGACAAGGGGATCCGATGTCTCCTATTTTGTTCAACATTGTAGTTGATATGTTGGCAATTCTAATAGGAAGGGCTAAGGAGGCTGATCAGGTGGGTGGCTTGGTACCTCATCTAGTGAGGTGTGTCTATCCTACAGTACGCCGATGATACGATCATCTTAATGGAGTATGACTTGGCAAAAGTGACAAATATGAAGCTGGTGTTATGCTTATTTGAACAATTGACCGGGTTAAAGATTAATTTTCACAAAAGCGAATTGTTCTGTTTTGGAAGAGCCAATGAGGAACAAGAGGCTTATAGGCAATTGTTTGGGTGCGAATTGGGGACTTTACCTTTTATGTATTTAGGTATACCAATTCACCATCGTAAGCTGACAAACAGAGAATGGAAGTGTATCGAGGATCGTTTTGAGAAGAAACTGAGTTGCTGGAAGGGCAAGCTCATGTCATACGGAGGCCGATTAATTCTGATTAATTTGGTTCTCACGAGTATGCCTATGTTTCTCTTGTCTTTCTTCGAAGTCCCAGTTGGAGTTAGGAAAAGGCTCGACTTCTATCGATCCCGATTCTTCTGGCAAAGCGATGAACTGAAAAGAAAATACAGACTCGCCAAATGGGATATTATTTGTCGACCGAAAGACCAAGGGGGTCTTGGCATTGAAAATCTTGAAGTCAAGAACAGATGTCTTCTCAGCAAGTGGCTGTCTAAATTATCTGTAGAGACTGATGCCACATGGGCGCAGATTCTATGTAGTAAGTATCTTCACTTCAAAACTTTGTCCCAGGTGACAGCGAGGCTGACGAACTCGCCTTTTTGGAAAGGGCTTATGAGAGTCAAATTAGCCTTTTTCAATAGGACAAAGTTTATAACCGGCAATGGCGCTAACACGCGATTCTGGGAGGATACTTGGCTCGGAGAGACCCCCTTGCGCTTCAATACCCGTCTGTTTATAGTATTGTTCAACGACGTGATGCTTTCGTTGCAACGATACTTCAGTCCATCCTCCTTAATATTCAGTTTAGGAGGACGCTAGCCGGTAATCATTGGGAAGTGTGGCTCCATTTAGTGAGTAGACTGATGGAGGTTCAGATGTCTCAACAGCCCGATCAATTACGCTGGAAGCTTACTAGGTCTGGAGAGTTTACAGTTAAATGAATGTATCTCAATGTTATCAATTCCAGCCCCATTCCTAGTTCCAAATATGTTTGGAAAGTCAAAGTCCTTTGAAAATTAAAGTGTTTATGTGGTTTGTACATAAACAAGTCATCTTAACTAAGGACAATTTGGCAAAGCGTAACTGGACAGGACCTACTAGGTGTAGTTTTTATAATCGGGATAAAACTATCAAACACCTTTTTCTTGATTGCCCATTGGCCAAAGTTCTATGGCGGACGGTGCACATAGCCTTTAACATTACTCCTCCGAATTCTGTCAGCACGTTATTTGGAACGTGGCTTAACGGGATAGAGTCCGAAACAGCGAGACACATTTGCGTAGGAGTATGTGCTTTATTGTGGGCAGTCTGGAACTGCAGAAATGATTTGGTTTTTAACAGAACAACAAATATTCATTTTTTGTAGGTTATCTTCCGAGCCACTGCGTTAATCCCTATGTGATCGCTACTCACTCCGACGGAGGCCAGGGAGCGTTTGGTTACTGGATCTATCCGATGGGAGATGGTAGCACGGGATATTTTCAACCGATTTGGATGGCGGTCATGTAATAGGATAGGCAATTAGTTCTCCTATCTTTCTTATGCCAGCCGGTTGTGGCTTTTTGGCTAGTTTGTTATTGGCTCTTTGGCTCTTTGTGAGCTTTCCTTTACTCTCGTTTGAGACTTTAAAACCTTGTTGAACCTATCTGCTTATTTATAAACTTGACCGTATGCATCGTTCCGATGCAAAAACCAGGGAGCCCCCCTTTTAAAAAAAAATGTATTGTATGGACTTGGTTGGTGCTTTATCTATAAAGTGGTGGCAAAAAACTAGTTAGAGAAATCTTATAAGTACGATTGTGCATATATATGTAGGGTATGCATATGAAGAAAAACAACCTACTATTCATTGGAAGGATTAAAACACAAGAAAGGCAGGGAATGCATGTTATCGTTTGTACATTCTGGTATCACTTATAGGGACAAAACAAAAGCATAGCTATACACGATGGTAGAGATAGTGTTGACGTCTCTGCAGTATTATTGCCTGTTTTACCTCTAGACGTGACATTCCTTTCTATCTACGTAGATTCTAGAACCATATGTATATACATCTTCACGAAGAGATGGCTTTACCTCTAGGGCCTCCATGTTGGCAGAAATTACATGCAGCGGGGCCAAGGGATGGCTGATCTCACAGCCTTGAACCTGGCCTTATTCATTCACCCATTTAGATTTCAGATAAAATATAAAAATATATCATATATATACACACGTCATCATGCAACCTAGCTTTCCATAATTAAGCCAAGCAAGTCATCCATGCTAAGGTAATTGGTTGGTTGCTAAGCATGCATGTTTGCATCAATTGGTACGTGTTGCTGAACATGCAACAGAATTATACAGCGAACCAGCATTCCTGATCTCTCTGCTCATTTTTTTCCTTGCAAATCATATATATAAGGGTAGGGGCAAGCAAACATAACCATAGCAGCTTAATTGCTAGTGTGCCGATTAATGCTGTTTCAGCTGCTATGGCAATTAAACCTCTTCCTCAAGCGTTGAGGTGGCTCAGCATCCATGGAGGCAGCCCTCCAATACGAAGCTGAGCCTGCTGCCCCGGCGCTGCTGCCGCCGCTGCTGCCTCCCCACCCATCGTCACCGGCGGGTAGCTGCTGCATACACAAGAAGATGAACTGTACATGTTATTACATGTACGCATAGTATCTTAAGTGAATTGTCAATGTAGGCATGTACATACCAAATGTTCTGTTGAGGGGCATGGGCCTGCTGATCCCTCATCATGAAACTGGAAGATGATGAGCTGGTCTGGGCTTGAGGTTGGTTTTGGGTATGGGCATGGGTTTGGGTCTGGGCTTGGTGCTCCCACTGCATTTGTTGTTGTTGCTGCTGCTGCTGCCTGCTGGCCGCCGCCTTCTGCCTCTCCACCAGCTAGAGAAAATTGAAGGATTAGATCAGCAACGGGCAGTGTTTAAGTAATTATAGGTGCTTTGTTTGGCAGCTTAATTACTTCCTTCTGTAGGGCCTTGTTCTCCTCCTGCAGTGACCTCTCCTGCAGCATGCAACAACAGTATGAGATGAAACTAGCTATATCATAATGGAAGGCGGATCGATGATAATAAGTTTGGTTGTTACCTTCTTCTGTAGCTCAGAAATGGACTCCATCATAAGATGGCTCTGCAAATAGAGGCAAGTTTGCAGTTACAATTGATCGGAAACTTTATCATTGGAAATTATATGCCAGATAATAACATTCTCAAAAGTCCAAAAGGAAAGGGTTTGCAACAGAATGCAAGGACCACATTCACATATGTAATGCTGGCATCTGACGTCCACCTCAGTCCAGTTAAGACAATTCAGGTGGGCTACTGAATCTTAGAAAATAACAACCTTTCTCGATCGGATGTGCTTCAATGAACTCTCCAGCTGCTGCTCCAGCTGTTGGAGTTCTTTGAGATTCAGAGAATCCAGATCCTCTCCCATGAGGTGCCTGCAGGATAATATAATCCAGTTACTTTAAATCATCTTAATTCAGCAGCTCATACTGCAAAATTATATGCTAGTTCCACAATTACTCAGAATTCAAATCTCAATTCAATACTCATTATTACTTGTGACATTTTTGTATGGTCTCAATCTTCGCCTTAAGTTTCCTGTATTCGTGGCACCAATTTCCCTGTACAGGAAAATTATTTTCTGTCAGAGGTAGGCAAGTACAAGAATGGACGTAACTAAGAACATCTTTTACCGCTATAGGGAACTACCACTATCAATATGCTTATTTAATGTGAGTAGATGGTAAGGTAATGTGAAAACGAACAGGAAACTGTTGACAAACTACTCCCTCCTTTGTTTATAAGGTGTAAATGCATTTTGAGTCTAATTTTACAGTGGTCTAATTTCTAGGTCGCATAACTCATATGATTGATCTAGTTGATGGTCAATGGGAATCCCAAAATCCATGCGCTCCTTATAGACCTGGAAGGAGGGATAAATAAGGCTTCCATTTTAGGAGAAGTTCACATTTACCTTCGGGCACTCACACTTGCATTTTTTTCACGTCACTTCTTGCATTTTGTCGCTAACAATGATACTAGAACAGCAGACATGTAGGAATAGCAGAAATTTACCATAAGATGCTCTTAACTATTATAACAGGTTTCAGCCATTGAAGTGCAGGAACACCTTAATAATGTTTCTGATATTCAGTATTATGAAGCAGCAGCATCTACCAAACTAGTCCTAGGCTTTTTCTGTAAAGTAATCATTAAATCATTGCCTAAAACTATGTTTAGGTTCAATGTGTAGAAAAAATTAAGTAAAGAAAAGAAAATCAGTACTCGCATGTGGATCTGAGGTACTAACAGCAAATACTTGACGGATTTGATTTATTTGGATGGAGCGAAGAGATGGACGTTGCAAGTGAGGAAAATAATAAAAAAATAGAAAATGTGGAAAAATAAATATATTACGACATCGACTTTGAACTTTTTATATCATGGTCATAACAAAGTTTATCTGAGAATTTTAGGCTCAGCCAAATTCATAGTCATCAAGCCATGTCTACTTGTTTACCGTAAAATATATTGGGTGTAAACCGGATTTAATAATCCCCCTCCCCCCATATCCCAATCAGAAAATAACCACACACAAAAAATGGACCCTTCAGAACATATAGCGTCAAAAGTTCACACACCATACAAAATTAAAATGAAAAACCTATAACCAAATGTAGTTGTTTTATTTTAGGTATTTATAAGCAAAATAATCCTGCCCTTTCTTAATCATATAGTTGATAGCAGACAAAAATATGGTAAGAACGATGGTCGATATTTTCATTTTATAAATTACTTAATTTTTGTGAAGATAAAAAAGCTTAATGAAATAATAATACACGGAGGGGTATCTTGCTGCTTAAAAGCATAAATTAGCTTGCGTCCGTAGCTTTCTCAGCCATCTTCTACTTCAATAACCTTCTCTTACAAGCCAAGTTCATGTAAATTCCATATGTGTACAAAAACATATGCAACTGTGTCACCCGTGGTTGGTTTACAATGGTTATGAAAGGGCCAAATACAAGAAATGTGAATACAAAGGCTATTTTGTGAAGCTTAGGTAGGTTAAGTTTGTGGCAAAAACATATAATTTTGATTGATTTGTTAGTATCCTATAATGTATACATACAATATTTATTTTACAGAATTTATAGTTAAAAATATTGTCTGTGATGTATTTATGATTGATCTAGAGGAGATGCTAATTTCATATAATTTCATGCATCCCATATATTGTGTATTATATACTGCATGCTATGACTATTTCTATGTATAGTGGACATCATTCAAAGATGATGAATACACATGCCCATCAATGATCTCTTCGTTCATTTACCTAGGTGGCCGAATTTAATAAAAATGTGAAGGAGGATGATATCCAATACCAGTTTAGCAAACTCTTCTAGTGTTTACTAGGTTCTTTTCATCCTTACTAAACGATCTTATCTGCCGGTAAGTTTGCAACTAGAAATTCATTCCCACTTGTATTTAACATAGGTTGCCGAACTAGAGCATCCACACATTACAAGTTTTCTTGGTGAGACAAAATCCGAGATGAAGGGGATTAATCAGTTTAAGGACATGTGAATGCTACACATTTCGAAAGCTCATCTGTGGGTCGACAAAACCCCTTTTCACTTGAGGAATGTTAAGCTATATAGTAGAGTATCCTAAAGAAATGTAATTTAAAGTCATTAACAAAAAATGTAAGGTGATTCTGAATTTCTCAAAAAGTATAATTATTCATAACTAACTTTCTCTGTTTGGACAATCCAACAACAAGAAGGTTAATTCAGATATGATGTTTATGTGAAGGAGATGTGCTGAAATGCTTGTGCAATGTAACATGGGCAACCTCCCCGATTCAAAATATATGAAAGCAGCAAGAGTAATCATCATAATAGCGAAAGCAGCAAATTGCTTATACCTCACTTTCAGATTCAGCTGAAATAAGAGCCTTTTCAGCATAAGAGTAGCGCTCATAACGTTCAAGAATTTTGTCCATGCTGCAAGGAAAACTCACACCATGTCAGTCCATGCCTTTTGAGGACAATCAAATCCCGGTCATTTGCAACCCATAATTAGTAGTACTAATTAGTACAATGCTTAAGAACAATTATTTGAGTACTAATTATGCCTTCGAAAATCAGTACAAGGCTTAGCATTGTATTGGAGTACAATGCTTGGCATCCTTCTAATTCGGAAACCAGCACTAAGAAGCATACCCAAGTTATTTTTGCAAGAAAATATAATAAATGCAATAGCTTATCACAAACCCCAAAAAAAAGAGCCACTATGCCATGGCCCGAGCAATGAAAAATAAGAAATTCCCAACAAACTCCAGATCTGAAGTTACTGTTTGGACTGACAGTGCTCCTTTACTGTTCAAAGTGTTGTAATATCAGTCTTGATTGCCTTGGAAACAGGATGCCAGCTTCAAAGAGTGCACATACAAAACATATATCTCACCCATCTTTAAGAAAGCAGTGAAGCTGTATAGAAGAACCATGAATCCTTGATAAAAGGAATACATATAGCACACATGTGATATCAAGGTTTGTTGATAATGATTGAAGCATTACAGGACATGCATGCATGATGCTGTGGCAAGAAAAATTTATCAACAATGAGTTGAATGGATGGCTGTAGCAGCAGTACCGCGGGAACTGGATTGCGATCCTAAACTGAACAATTGTAGAGGAACCTTATAGAGCTAGCTACTTCTGTTCTTGTAAAACAGCCAAGGTGATAGTTTGCACCAGCCCCCTTCGTAGTTTCATACATAGAGAATATTACGTACTGTACTATATGCAACAAAAGAAGCTCTTAATCCGTATGTTTGTACGTACGGTCAACACAATATCCCACCATCTTGAACCTCACTGGTTTTGGCACACGAAAATATAGACTATAGAGATGTGCAGCCTATTTATCTGGATTATATAGAGAGAGAATTAGTGAAGGGGTTCCAGAAGCCTGAAGCATTAATTCCTTTAATTTTCCCAGAGAGAGGCCAGGTCGTCTTGTATATGTGGCACGTAGGTACCCATGCCTTATATAGACCATATATCTCAAAGAGGGAAGAAAGAGATGAGACGCAACGGACATATATGTATATTGGAAATAAAGCACTTGAAAACAGGCATAAAAGTGCCGACATACATACATGCATACTGTTACCGTACGTACGAGTCGTTGTACAACACAAAACTGTTGTACACGGAATTGAGAGGGGCTAAAGTATATGTTGTGTTACAGCAAATAGTTTCATCATTAGCGATTTACATCGTACACCTTTATTTCTCTCTTCAATAGAAGATTGCGAATTGCTCCCTATCAATGAACAAAGCAAAGATCCAGTACTACTATACTGTATCTAGCTGTGAAGCTGGTCTATCTTATTTCTACCAAATAAAACCGAGCTAGCAAAGATTGACCTAGAGGGTAGGGGTAGCATCAAAGAGGCAAAGAGGGAGAGAAATAAATAGGAGTAAGAGGAAAGAGAAGAAGAAGAAGATCAAAGAAGAGCCAGATCCATCTCACTGCTTGGCAAGAACTGAAGAAGAGTAAGAAGAGGGATTTTTTTTTGGTATAGTTTAACAAAGACGTACGTAGCGATGTACCATGCATAAGTCGGGTTCACTGCATGTCTAGAGAGGCAGAAGAAGATGCGAGGCGATTAATTCACCGAGCTCCGTGCATTACATGCATGTCTGTCACTGGCTCACTGTCCAGCTCACTTCTTGGAAGCTGTGATTATTATTTGATAGCTTAAAAAACACCCAAAAAAACGCATGTGATTTTTGGTCACAAGAAAAAGCCAAATCACTGGACGGGAACTAGAAAGCGAATAAAATACTCCTTGTAGTACAATCGAGTCTAGAACGATGTGGATGAAGAAAGGGACAAAAATCATCTAATTACGCGCGGGGGCTGGGGCTCAGTATAATATAATCTGCCTTCTCGTGTCACATACATATTGTCCTAGGCGGGGTATAGGTGAATGTGAATTAAAGAAAGAAAGGCGGCCGTGGATCCCAAAAAAGGAAAGGATCAGTCGGAGGCAAGAGGAAAAGGCAAAAGTGGGGAGCACGAGAAAGGAAATCCGAGAAGACGAGCCAGCTAGTGAGTGAGGACTGAGGAGAAAATCAAATCGTTACCCAAAATAAGCAAGCAACTGCAGCAGCAGCATAAAATCATCGCCTGTAGCACACAAACTCAGAATAGGCAGGGCTGGGGCTAGCAGTAGAAACAAGTGAGGAAGCACATGCGGTACGGACACCAAACCGATGAGCACATGGAGATGGATCGATGCCAGAAATGGCAAAACCGACAGGGAGCTTTTCCGGCGCCATGGCATCAAAGGCCAGAAACGGCAAGAGCTACGATGCAGCTGGCGGAGGAAGAGCGGAGCGTACGGCGGTACGGTATTACCTCCCTCCCTATATGTATGTGCGATGCAGCAGCGGCATGGGCATATATATAGCAAGCAGAGGCAGAAATGGAAATGGATCGAGATGGAAGCTAATATAGGCGTGGGTGGGGAGCTACCTGGAGTCGGTGGCGTACTCATAGAGCTTGCCTTTGGGGGAGAAGACGATGACGGCGACCTCCGCGTCACAGAGGACGGAGATCTCGTGCGCCTTCTTCAGGAGCCCGTTGCGGCGCTTGGAGAAGGTCACCTGCCGATTTATCTTGTTCTCTATCCGCTTCAGCTGCACCTTGCCGCGACCCATATCCTGATTTCGCGATCTAGCTGTCGGCTCTTGTGTCTATGGCGCGCACGGCGGCCGGGGTGGGAGGAGGCGAGACGTCGCTGGCTCGCCGCGGCGGTGAGGGGAGATGGGATGCAGCTTTAAAGATGGGAGAGGAAGAGGATGGATGGATTTGTGGTGTAATTGGGGGAGGGTGCGATCGAGTGTGGTTCCGGCCGCGGTATGCTGTCGAGCGTCTATTGGCTGAGACGCCTAAAATGGCCCCACACGCTCAGTCTCAGTCTCTCTCTCTCTCTATTGTGTTTATAGTGGTAGCAGCAGCGGCGGCAAGCACATAAAAAAATGGCAGCGCAGGTTGAACTCCTCCATCCATCGCCCGCTTCCCATGTGTGATGGGTCTGCACCTCGTACGGTCGAACCCAAACGCAGGCCAGCCCCTCTTCACTTCCTTTCCTTTCTAAATCTGCCTTTGGGTATCTCCGCTTTCTTGTCTCTTAGGTTGGTCCCTCTTTCTCTCTCTTGACTGGAACCTATTTGACTGGTGGGGAAATCACATAAAGTTTTTTCCCCTCATTATTACTTTGCTCTATTCAAAATATGACCCTTTTAAGTTTGACATCACTAAATAGAGCTAAATGACAACATTTAACTTCAACAAAGTACTAATTAACGTAGTATGGCTAGTAGCAAGTACATACATGTAACACGTGTTCAACAAAAATTCAACAAAATACTAGCATATTATGAGTAGATACCATGCCTACTAACTAAATAATTTAACAGTTGGAATTAGAGTCGTAGTCTGGAGTATCAGAACCAGGAGTGCCAACAGGCCTGTAGTACATCATGTTCTTCTCACAATCATAATCGAGGTAGAACGTTGCCCTCTCTTTAGCTTCCATCCCATAGGCACGTGCAAGGTATCTCCAACCAGGGAAACCGAAATAGGTACGGTGTGTCTCGTTGGTGAGAAGGCAAGTGAAGTTCTGAGTCGTTTGCATCTTCATGAGGGTGCACTGAAATTTGATAGTTGCATCAAGCTCAACGTTGAACCTCTCTAGGAAGTCACTCCTTGCCCGCAAGGGATGAATTGAGAAAAATTAAAAAGAAACTTCAATCAAACAATTTTGGTCGCAACTATGAAACTCAGTCACAACATGTTGAACAAAAATATACCATTGTAGTTACGAATTCATCTAGAAGATCTACGAAGAACTTCTTATTCTTTTGGCATCTGATGGCCCCACAGGTGGCATCTGATGGCCCCACAGGTGGCACACGAGGGATCAATTTCCTGCATTCATGTTGAAAAAAATAAACAAACATCAGGTATATAGCTAGGTAATTCTTTGGATATTCAAAAATTATAGTAATTAAATAGCGCTACAACCATGCATATAGTTCAAATATAAAATACATATAGCTAGGGCATTGGATAATTTAAATAGTCTAGTAAACATACGGTGAAACAACCATGCATATAGTTCAAACATAAAACACATACGGTTGGGTTCAGTGGATAGTTTAAACACTAGTAATCAAATAGTGTTGCGCATATATTTCAAATACAAAACATGCATAAAGTTAAATAGTATGTACGGTCAACTATAACAACTGATAGTTAAAGTAGCTACAGCAACTAACCCTCCCCATCTAGCTAGTGGGAGTCACACTCTCATGTCCTAGTCAGAGTCATCATCACCCCCCCCCCCCTCACGCCGGAGGGGCCAACCACGTGGTCGTCCCTTGTAGACCTATCACCGGCGCGTGATAAGGGGTCAGCTCATCCTCCTCAGACTCCCTCGCAAGCGCATCACAATGTATGTGATCGTCCGTCACCTTCTTACTGGCTTTGTAGGCCATGAGCAACATCTTATTGTGCCCCATGACACGAGGATTCGTGGAGAGACGCCTCACTTTAGGGTCAAAGTACTGCATCTCGACCTCGAGGTGCTCCTTCTCCTTAGCCTTGGAGCATATCCTCATGTTCTTCGGCGCTAGGAAGTGTGCGGCGTCGGCGTACTCATGGAAGTTAAGATGCACCTTATCCCTAAAGAGCTTGACCGCTTTCACATCGTAGGCACACAGGGAGCTCCGGGGTGTGCTACTCCTGCAGGAGTTGTTGGGTTTCCCCGAAGAGGAAGGGTGATGTAGCACAATAGCAGAAAGTATTTCCTTCAGTTAAGAACCAAGGTTTATCTAACAGTAGGTGGCAACACATGTACAACGTTAGCAGCACCTACACACAAACAAAATAATTGCTTGCACCAAACAAAGCAAGGGGGTCGGCATCCCCTTGTTCTTGCTAGCTAAAAGGTTAAAAGTAAATAATAGTAAAGATAGCAAAGGATAATAGTAACTAGGTAGTGATAGTAAATTGATAGAAATTGTAAGAACTTATAAATATATGGAGAATGGACCCTGGGACCATAGGTTCACTAGAGGCATCTCTCTCAAAAGAAAAATAGCGAAGGGTAAACAAATTATTGTTGGGCAATTGACAGAATTGAGCATAGTTAGATCATCCAAGGCATAATCTGAAGGAAATATGCCCTAGAGGCAATAATAAAGTTGTTATTTATATTTCCTTATATCATGATAAATGTTTATTATTCATGCTAGCATTGTATTAACTGGAAACTTAGTACATGTGTGAATACATAGACAAAACATAGTGTCCCTAGTAAGCCTCTACTTGACTAGCTCATTAATCAAAGATGGTTAAGTTTCCTGACCATAGACATGTGTTGTCATTTGATGAACGGGATCACATCATTAGGAGAGTGGTGTGATGGACAATACCCATCCGTTAGCTTAGCATTATGATCGTTCAGTTTTATTGCTATTGCTTTCTTCATGACTTATACATGTTCCTCTGACTATGAGATTATGCAACTCCCGAATACCGGGGGAACACCTTGTGTGCTATCAAATGTCACAACGTAACTGGGTGATTATAAAGATGCTCTACAGGTGTCTCCAAAGGTGTTTGTTGAGTTGGCATAGATCGAGATTAGGATTTGTCACTCCGTGTATCGAAGAGGTATCTCTGGGCCCTCTCGGTAATGCTCATCAATATAAGCCCTGCAAGCAATGTGACTAATGAGTTAGTTGCGGGATGATGCATTACAGAACGAGTAAAGAGACTTGCCGGTAAAGAGATTGAACTAGGTATGAGAATACCTGCGATCGAATCTCGGGAAAGTAACATACCGATGACAAAGGGAACAACGTATGTTGTTATGCAGTTTGACCGATAAAGATCTTTGTAGAATATGTAGGAGCCAATATTGTTGGGGAACGCAGTAATTTAAAAAAAATCTACACACACGCAAGATCATGGTGATGCGTAGCAACGAGAGGGGAGAGTATCATCCACGTACCCTCGTAGACCGTAAGCACAAGCGTTATGAGAATGCAGTTGATGTAGTCGTACGTCTTCACGATCCGACCAATCCAAGTACCGAACGCACGGCACCTCCGAGTTCAGCACACGTTCAGATCGATGACGTCCCACGAACTCCGATCTAGCAGAGCTTTGTGGGAGAGTTCCGTCAGCACGACGGTGTGATGACGGTGATGATGTTGCTACCGACGCAGGGCTTCGCCTAAGCACTGCTACGATATGATCGAGGTGGATTATGGTGGAGGGGGGCACCGCACACGGCTTGGAACAATCAACTTGTGTGTCTTGGGATGCCCCCTGCCCCCATATATAAAGGAGCAAGGGGGGAAGCCGGCCGACCTCTCTAGGCGCGCGAAGGGGGGAGGAATCCTCCTCCTAGTAGGAGTAGGATTCCTCCTGTCCTAGTCCTACTAGGAGGGGGAAGGAAGGAGAAGGGGAGGAGAAGGAAAGAGGGGGCGCAGCCCCTCCCCTAGTCCAATTCGTACTAGGCCCATGGGGGGCACGCGGTCAGCCCTCGTGGCTTCTCCTCTTTTTCCCTTAAAACCCACTAAGGCCCATATGTACTTCCGTATTCCCGTGACTCTCCCGGATCTCCAAAAAATACCCGGATCACTCGAAACCTTTCCGATGTCCGAATATAGCCTTCCAATATATCGATCTTTACGGTTTGATCATTTCGAGACTCCTCATCATGTCCGTGATCTCATCCGGGACTCCGAACAACCTTCGGTACATCAAATCACATAAACTCATAATACCAATCGTCATTGAACGTTAAGTGTGCGGACCCTACGGCTTCGAGAACTATGTAGACATGACCGAGACATGTCTCCAGTCAATAACCAATAGCGGAACCTGGATTCTCATATTGGCTCTTACATATTCTATGAAGATCTTTATCGGTCAAACCGCATAACAACATACGTTGTTCCCTTTGTCGTCGGTATGTTACTTGCCCGAGATTCGATCGTCGGTATCTCAATACCTAGTTCAATCTCGTTACCGGCAAGTCTCTTTACTCGTTCCGTAATACATCATCCCGCAACTAACTCATTAGTTGCATTGCTTGCAAGGCTTATAGTGATGTGCATTACCGAGAGGGCCCAGAGATACCTCTCCGACAATCGGAGTGACAAATCCTAATATTGATCTATGCCAACTCAACAAGTACCATGGGAGACACTTGTAGAGCACCTTCATAATCACCCAGTTACGTTGTGATGTTTGGCAGCACACAAAGTGTTCCTCCGGTATTCGGGAGTTGCATAATCTCATAGTCATAGGAACATGTATAAGTCATGAAGAAAGCAATAGCAACAAACTAAACGATCATCGTGCTAAGCTAACGAATGGGTCAAGTCAATCACATCATTCTCTAATGATGTGATCCTGTTAATCAAATGACAACTCATGTCTATGGTTAGGAAACATAACCATCATCGATTCAACGAGCTAGTCAAGTAGAGGCAAACTAGTGACACTCTGTTTGTCTATGTATTCACACATATACTAAGTTTCCGGTTAATATAATTCTAGCATTAATAATAAACATTTATCATGATATAAGGAAATATAAATAACAATTTTATTATTGCCTCTAGGGCATATTTCCTTC